TTAAGGCACTTAAAAGTTTGGTTTTTAGTTCCTTTACTTAGATGTCCATTTTTAGCAGGAATTTTAACTAAAAGTTAAGTTGTCTCAAACAAAATTTTGTTAACGAAAAAGAAACATAAGAAAAAGTAAGCAGAATTGCTTAAGAAATCGAAATTTATATTCAAGTACTGTTTACTTAATTGATATACGAGCAATGTTTAAAATTCGACTTGAATTTTAGAAAATCACCCTAAAACAATTTTATGGTTTAGCTATTGTCTGCTTGAAAGTCCGCATAGCTCAGTGGAAAGTCTCTCGTATAAAAATCAACTTTGAAGTAGACATATGTTTTCGAAATTTGAGAAAAATGTACCCTGAATTTAAGATGGAAAAAACACAACCTTTCGTTTGAGAAACATACTTTCTGAATAATAAGGTGAGTATCCCTTTGGCGACAATCCGATGCCATTTTTCAACTACTGATTGCCACTGTTGCAATCATATTAGCGATCACAAATTGTATTTATTATCGAAAGCCATTTTAAAATTCACCCTAGATGCGCTTACATTTAAAATCGGCTACGTCTAAAGGAAACACAACGGAAAAATGCGAACCGAAAAAAGGAATCGTTGAAACAGAGTCACATTTATCCAAACGTGCTCATTTAAGTGGAATCACTTAATGGTTTTATACGCTTATCATTATCATCCCAGCAGTCACTGCCTGGGCACCCTCCTCCTGCTAATGCCGAACCGGCAAGCAACATCGTTGTCCACATGACTACCAAACGGGCCACCAGGCGGCAGAATGACAAAGCGTCAAGCTGTGGATTGTGGCACCACCCATCCAAATTGTGGCGCATTTTTATCTGGCGGATGTTTGGCTCGCTGTCAGCTCGAAATGCTTGCGACCAGTCATTGTTTTAACGCGTATGTTTGCCAGACACACACATCCAACACACACACATCCAACATACACACACACAAAACAACAACACACATCTCATAGTTAAATGCATAATTTTTAGTGAAGTTGCTGCGCTGAATGTTTCTGCTTTGGCTGCGTGACGCGCACACGGTGAATGCTTCCTGTTTGTGTGTGTGTGTTTGAGTGTGTGTGTGTGTGTGTGTTGGATGTAGTTGTTGTGTGGAGTGGGCTCGCTTGTGGGTGTGGCACTGTCACAGCCAAAGGTCGTATGTGCGGCCCACAAATAAGGAAGTAATATGTCGCCGCTGCATGGCCATCAAAGCCAGACACGCTGAATACTTCACTGGGCTTGTAAATGACAGTAGTGCCACCCAAACCCCCTTCCCCTCCCCTCATCCTCCTCAAACTGCGCTGAGCGGTACTTGGCTCTGGCAGTGAATAAACTGAATGCTCTTTTTTGCACATGACTCGTTCCATTATTAACAGCTTGACTACCCTGCTAAACGGTTGTGTATATCCTTTTCTTTGTATTTATTTATTTTTTTTTGTATTAGGTTTTATTTTTTGTTGGGTTTCATGCTATCAATTCCTAAATTAACATACTGGCGACATTGCTTTAGGATTAAGCATTTTTATAATAAGAATTTTTAGGGTTTTCGTTGTGTTTTTATGCATTTTTTAAATATAATTTATTGAATATTGGAGTGAAAATAATTTTGATTTTCCATACTATAATTATTATGAATAAATACTTTTATTTATTAAGGTTTGATATCTTATTTTTAAGAATATATAAACAGAATATATTGGAAATCATATTTATTTATTTATTAAATGTGGACTAAAGTAACAATTGTAGTATTAAAGTGTTAATAAGAAAGTAAGAATAAAATGTATATTTATTTCTTTAAAATTTTTGATCAATATTTATTAATTTTGCATATTATTATTAAAATATCCGCCGTGTTGAAGAAAGTTACTTCTTAACTTGTATTACTCAAAGACAACCAATTTTAACTTTATAACCTTACCTCTAGGGTATTTATGCCTCAAGCTGTTGCCCGTTCTGATTTTGATTTTATTATTTTTTGTCGAATTTCCAACCCTGCTGTCAAAAACATTGAACCGCATTTGTTCTGCAAGATTAATGACCCACAATTGGTCGCATCAATGTGGTGTCTGCGGCTATTGTTATGCGTAATCCTGTTGTTGTTGTTGGCGTGGTGAATGATTTGTGCATCCTTATGGTCTTGAAACCTTGCCACATTTTCAGTTTTGACGGAGATCTCCATCTGGATGACCCACAAGGAGAGAGAGCGAGGAGTTATCACCGGCAAATCATTTCATCAATTTAATGTACCAGAATGTGACTTGTCGGTTGTCAACTTTGCGACGCTCCTTGAAGGGGATGTGTGTTGTTCACTTTAGTTTAATGACTGTGCGAACAGTGTGACGACAAGTCTGCTAGTGCATCAAACTTTGCCAACTTTTGGCGCTACAAGGCACTGATTTTATTTACAGGCTAACAACAAGGATACAAGGATACTGCTGGCGACAAGTAAAGTCAAGTCGCATCGTGTCAGTGTAAGTTACCCCGGGGGGTGGGGAGCGCATGGTGGCAGCATAAAGACTCCTCTGTGCTCGGCAGCTGCCTCGAATATAGCTTAACTGTCAGTAACACTTAGTCGACATTTAACTTGTGTCATTTGCAGTGCACAGCGTGCAACAGGACGCGGTGGCACGCAGTAAGCTGCAAGCATAATAAAATCACCACGGGTTATTGTTGGAATGTTCAAACCAGATCTGGTCAAGTAAGGAGCTAGCAGAATTCATTCCAATGTATTATTAATTGAAGTAAAGCATACACCTAAAATGAGTAGAGTTTGTTGTGTGTTCTTTGTACAAAATATAATAATGGAATTAATAATAAACAAATAAAGTTCTATTCATTTACAATACAATTTCTTATTCCTGTTAATAACTTAATATTTTCATGAGATTGACTTACACCTGAATCGGCCTCAACTTTTTGGGGAATGGAAGCGTTTTCCTGATGAATCTCAAATATTCATTTGCTCAAGTGGCAGATTCAAGTACATCTCATCTATAACTAAATATGTACAGTATCAAGTGGAAATGAACAGCGGTTGCCAACAATTAAACAGACAAAGAACATGACACTTGCCACACGCAGTTGAACAACAAATTTCCAACACACACACTCACTCACACACACACAAGCAGACAACATACTTGCCACAACTCCAGCAGAACCATGAAATGAGCGCAAACCCTCATTTTGGCCACTTCATCATGGAGAGAAAGTGCGTTAGAGATTCATCCATTTGTTCACACCACAACAGCAGCAGGAACAGCAGCGGCAAACAGGAAATGGTGAGGAAAAAACAGGACAAACTTACTTAGACCCAAACAGACATTTTCCGGCACACAATAAGACGAGGCACTTTTCATTAGCAAGCACACTTGGGCGACAACTGGGTGGATTGGGCTGATTGGGGTGATTGGGGTTCGGGGGGAAATATATCCATAGTATCTATAAAATGTCTTGGCCCTGTCGGGTTTTACTTCTTATTTCTTACTTTTTTTATTTCTTCTTTTTTTTTTTTTTGTTGCGCCTTTGTTGCAGTTATTAACCCTTAACCACACATAACATTTATTACCCACATTGTCCTGGCGCTCCACACACAAGGGCCAAACAAAGACGCCTGCGTTAAGCTGGCAATGACATTTTTTTTGTTCGCTCCCCTTAACTACCTCATTCACACTGCCCCCGCTCCGCACTCTGCACTCCGCACTCTGCAGTCGATGTACCTCGCTGCCCGTCTGCCCCTTGGTTGCCTATTTCGCTTGATTGTATTCTGTGGGACGACTTTTGTCTGTGGTTTATCGCTTTTAATTTGTCGTCGCGTCTTGGGCTCGTTAAGTCCTCTTTCGCCTTGCGCCTTTGCCTTTTGCCAATGCTTTGCTTCGCTTTTGGTTGAGTGAATTTTCGTTGCGATAATTGGCTCTGCACAAGGCCAACCAAATTAGAGATTTGCTAAAAGGAAACTCGTTACAACATGTTGAATGCCACGAGCTATTCTCGGCATTTCTTCTTTATGCCTTAAATAAAACGATTTCTTATCGACAACTCGAAATATATGCTATATGCTGTCCTTAAATGTTTTAGTGCCATTGCAAACCGGCTGTGTAGTCGAGGCAGCAACTCATTGAGCAAAATTTCACATTTTACAGCCGTATTAAGCGTATTTGCTCCAAGTAAAAACTTGACGAGAATCATTATTTGATATGGCCCGAAATATTTACTGATACCCTGTACCCATTAAAAAATTTATAAAAAAGGGTATATATTCTTCATATACCATTCTTGATCAGCATCAACAGCAGAGTCTCTCTCTAGCGACTATGAACGCTAGAGACTTCAAATTTGGAATCAAAATTCCAGTATAATTCGAGCACATCAAGTTTACTGCATTTTATCAATAACTGCCACAGTATCATGAATATCGATATATATCGATAGATCTTATTATTATAATTTGGGTACCTGAACTGCGACCTATTATATCTGTTGTGGCCCCTTCTGAGCTTGTAGCTCTTCTATCAACCCTAATCCGGTTGAGGGCTTCTATGTCTTTGAAGCTCATGACATGCATCGCCAGGATGCTGCCTCTTTTTCTGGTTAAGGCGACACACTCTGCTAGGTTTGCTTCTATCAGCAACTAGTTCAGTTAGGTGACTGCTTAGTTTACAATGTACTGTCAGTAGACTATTGAGTATCCTACTATCGATAGATATAAAAGCAATATTTTCGAACGTATTGATTTGCTATTAATATTTAACGAACATTGACACATTATTGACCAACGATGAGGGTATCCACTAGTCGAGCTCTCTCTCTCTCTCTCTTTCTCTCTCGGCCTCAGTATTTATACTTGTTTTAAGTTGAGTATATTTTGATCAATTTGCACCAACTGGCAGCTTGGCTGTCTTGCACTAAATTTCTATTAGAGTATAAATTAAAGCAAGCTGTATCCAAAACCAGTTGACTTCTATTTAACAGTTGATTTAAGGCCTGCCAAAAACTGTCAAATACTCCTTGAAATGGCTGAAATTGAAAGCATACTGATTCAATTGCGTGCTCGCCTGCAGGAGCGCAACATCAAGTTGTGGGAGGCGCCGTATTACGTGGAGAACGTGGGCTGCAATGAGGCAGCTGTGGAAGAGCTGTGCCAGGAGCTGAGCACTGAGCTGCATATCTCTGCAACTAGTTGCAAGAGTTCGCTGCTGGAGTTGCAGCAACACGCGTTGCGCAAACTCGCCGCACGTCGTCAATTCGATGCGACGGGTCTGGCCACATTCCAAGTGCGTTGCGTGGACAGCCAAGGTGGCACATGCCACACGCTGCAGTTGAAGTGTGATCTCAACGAAATCGGCGCCCATCTGCAGCGGCAAATTGCTGAGCAGCTGCAACTGTCGGAAGCGGAAGCGGCTCATGTCAAATGCATTTCAGCTGGACGCTTGCTGACGCCACAGGCCACATTGCAATCCCAGGGTGTCAGGAACAATCAGCAGCTCCTTGTCATTGTCGGCCAGTCGGATGCCACCGGTGAGGCACTCTACGAGCGTATACGGCACATACAGCTGGATGTGGAAATGGTTGTCGATGCGCAGCATCGTTTGGTTGAGCTGGAGGATCAGGATGGCAATGCCATGTTTCTGCCACCCGACGAGAATCGCTCGCTGCTGCTGGGCATGGGCTTGTGCGAGAAGGGACGTGCCGCCATGCGGCGAGAGCAATATGATGAGGCACTCTTGCTCTTCCTCGAGGCGGATGAGAGGTTTGGCAGCTGTGACTCAAAGTTTCTCGAATCTGTGGATAACTATGCGCTACTCAATTTGGATATTGTTTGGTGCTATCTGTGCCTGAAGCACATCGCACAACTGCCGGACGCACAACGTCGTCTGGATCTGTGCGAGCGCCTCTTTCGTCGCAGCTATGGCGAGAACAATAGTCGCCTCTATGCCCTCAAGGGCACAAGTTGTCCGGAACGTGCGCTCATCATGCGACTTCAGTTGCTTCAGGGCGTTCTTCTCTTCCATCAGAATCGCCGGGATGAGGCCAGACTGCGTCTGCAGGCAGCTAGCGCAGCCTTGGTTGAGCTCAGGGTCAACACGGAGCAGCTGGAGCTGCTGCTGGATATGGGCTATGAGGTCGCCGATGCGCGTCTGGCTCTGCGTTCCTGCAATGGCAATGTGGAGCGGTCGCTGGAGTTTATCCAGCAACGGCGTCAGCGTCTTCAGGCTGCACGGCACAGCTCCGATGCGGATCGCCGGCTCGAGCAGCTGCAGTTGAGCAGCGGTCTGCAGGATTGGGTGCATCCGCGCAGCGTTTGTCGCCTAATGGAAATGGGCTATGAACGTTCGCTTGTGGTGGAGGCACTGCGTCGCACAGACAACGATCTGGCGCGCAGTTTGGATCTGCTGCAATCGCATTCGGATGAACTGCGTCGACATCTGCCCGCCACACAGCCAGTCAATGAGCAAATGCTTAATACCCTATGCGAACTCGGCTTTAAGCGGCCCTCGGCTCGTGCTGCCCTAGAAACAACACAGAATAATATGGATCGGGCCATTGATTTTCTACTGAAGAGTTTTGCCAGCGAGCGAGAGCTGAATACCATGATTGAGTTCATATCGAAATGGAGCACTGAAGCATTTAATGACCCCACTGCGTCCACCTCAATGGGGCAGCCAGCAGCCAGATTAACGGCAAGCAAACTGGCCTTGGTGCAATCTGTGCTGAGCAAAGCCAAAGCCGAAATGGTATCTTTTGGTGCCTACAAGCGTTTCAATGAGGATTTGCCGAGCAACGAGCAGGACTATTTGGATTTGCCACTCGACCAGGAGCAGCGCATACTCAACGAGTACCAACAGCTATTGGAAAATTGAATTCTATCATGTTTATCTATTTAGAAATAAAAATATTGTTCAAATAAACTTGATTCAACTTCTTCAAGTTGCAGATCACACAATTGCTATCGATCGATATCGATATTATATGTTAAGTACAGAGTTGCATGTTATGTTACAGCTGTTATGTTACAGTCTTAGTACTACACTAGTGGCCTGCTACAATGCATATCGATACCTATTCCTTTAACGTATACTAAAGAATATAATAGATATCAACAGTTGAACATATTCCAAAAGTATTTGTTTTCATTTGATCAGTAAATGAATGTTTTTCTATCAGTTATTTTATTTATGTGAAGCTAACTTGTAACGTTAACGCAAAAGCTTATTATTTAATATGTTGAGCTGACAAGCTGGTGCTGCCTAGTTGGTACATGAAAAACTATAATTAAAATATATGTATGCTTCCATTTGTGTGCGTTGCACACACTATATATTAGCTTCTGTATATGGTACTTTTTTCGCAGTTATATTTCCTCAATTACTCATAAATTCAAGTATGTTTTTTGCTTTTGGTACAAACGCACACGCAGAAAAGTATGCTATACCATTTTTGGTACGCTTTTTACGGCTTGTTTACTCATGTGCATAAGCATGGCACTTTGTCACTGTGTGTGTGTGTGTGTGTGTATGTGTGTATGTTGTTGACTTTTAAGAAAATTAATAATTTTTCAACTACTAGCTACGCTTCAAACCCCAACTCTTGTCCAAGCCATCAGTTTGGCGTGCAACTTCTGCGCTTGATGGCCAAATAATTTGTCGACTGTGTGTGTTTGTGTGTGTGTTGGTGAGTGTATATTGTTTCCGAATCGTTAAATCTGAAATAAACTAAGTTCAGCGTTGTTTGACTGTTTGTTGCTGTTGTTGCTTAGGTAGATTTGTCATGCCATGCCGCACATTTTCTGAGTGGCTGACATTTCACTTGACTGAACGACTTCTTGGTCCTCATTTTTCTCGAATTGGATTAAATCGTGCGTATTCCGTCGGTAAACGGGAAAAATAAAAGAAAATCCAAGGAAAAAACAATTTCTCTGGCGTGTGCTTTCGTTCTGGCTTTGACCAATAGCTTTGACGCTTTCCACATTTTAATTTGTGGACTTTTATTGAAATCCATTTCGAAGGTGAAATAAAAGCTGACAACTGTCGCCTCAAATTTGATGTCTAAATGCAACATGCACAAATTTTGTTGCGTTGCCAACAATTTGTGCAGCTGCATACAACACAAAAAGAAAAATGTCAAAATGTTGGCAACAGCGGGTGGCCAAGAAAGGAATGTGGGGAGTGCTGGTTGTGCCTGTCTTATTTAGTAACGAAAATGAGCAGCGGCAGCGCTTAGAGATGCCTTGCAACCAAGGACTTTGCCGCGAAAAAGGGTTGCAGCCACTGTTATGGGAGAGAGGAGGCTGGGTTTGGGTTTTGGACTGCATTCACTGGCTGATTTCCGTCATTTGTTGTTGCTGCCAGAGCTGCCACTGCTGCTGCCGTTGTCATCAACTGCAGGCAACATTATCATTGTAGCTGCAAGTGCTGCTCTGCTTCGTATACCCTGTAAACATTTGAACACTTTGCATATCTGTGCGTACCAAAAATATCACAACATTTATATTATAGTGGAATGTAAATAAATAAAAATGGCTACAAATCATTCAAGCTGCTTGCTTTTCAATTTCAGTTTTACTTTTCCCAAAATACTTATATTCCTAATATAAATATGATTAACTGGAAAACATCGCTCAAAGCTATATTTTGTCTTAGGAGAACTTCTTTATTTGAATCTTCAGTGGTTTAAGAGGATATTTGCAAGTCAACCACTCCCACTTCTTATTGTTGTTGTTGTTGTTATGTGTCCTCATTATCGTTTGTTGCTTGCCACGCTCTTCTCATGTCTTTTGGCATTTACATTCCATTTTTATTTTATTTTTTTGTTGCTGGTGTGTTTTTTTTTATCAAGTGGCAGGCTGAAGAACTTTAATGGCTTTGAAATGCACTTGGAAGTGAGCAGGAAAAAGATTTTTTAATTTATTACACAAAGCGAAATATACTTATAGAATTAAATGTAGCCTCATGCAAAATGTCGTACATTTTTTATCGTAGGTATATGACGCGAGTAAGGAAAATTGCATTATTAAAGAAAACTTTCAAAAACTCCACTTTCTGCAAATTATTCATCTTTTTAATATCCACTTTGAATAAATTGACTTACACTTATCTCTGTTGGACGCTTCTCTTTGCCGAATATGATGATTAAGTATTAAATTTAAGCTCGGCCACTGAGAAATTCGAAAAGTTTTTGCGTAAGTTTGCTGCAGTTAATTAAAAGAAGATTTCCTTCATACTTATCTTTATTTTTTGTGCTGGGCCACAGCACAAAAAAATGCTGCATAAATTACAAATTAGCCAAGTCAAAATCAGTTCGCACCGCGACCAACCAAAAAGCCGCAACTCACAATCACCCTTAACACAATGCTGAACCCATACCAATCCAATTTGGACAGTTTTTGGGCACAGCTGAGAGCGTGCGAACAACTTTGGCAGTCACTGTCTGTGTCTCTGTGCTTTTGTTGCTTAGAAAGTAAAAATAATGTAAATGATAAAATTATTTAATGATGCGGAAGTGCGTTGATAAGCAAACGACAAATGCGTGCCACCAACAAATGCTGCTGCTTATCGCTGGATATGAATACCCTAGCTAGCTAACTGTGGGTATATTGATTATATCCAAATATAGCTTTAAAAATTAGTAAAAACGAAAAGCATTGATTATATTTATTGAATACATATTTTTATTTACAATAGTTTTAGATTCTTTAATTACTTTGCCAAAGATTAACTGGTTAATCTGCTGAAATCTAAATTTTATTTGAAGTTCGAAATATTATGTTTTTGTATGTTGCAACTTGTGGCATGAATGTTTGATTAAAATAGGCATAGACATTCATGTATCACACTTTCTGATGCAGTGAAAGTGTAAATAAATAAATAATAAATAAATTAAAATACAATAAATTGTTGTGTAAAACTTACTGTTTTTTTCCAGTTGTAATTTATAAATATATATAATATGCTAATAATAAATGGCATTGACATCAAATTCGTATTTTATTTTATTTTAAATAAATCAAACTTGTCTACAATTTTCTGATAACTCATCATAAAAAATAAAACCAGGAAAGGCTTTCACCCGTTGAGTGTGCACTTAAATATTTCACATTATATTTAGTAAGTTAATTTTGATTAATAGAAATCTGAGATAATATTCGATATCTACTTCTAAGATCGTATACACAAAGTTTGGCAGCACAACAACAAAGAAATATAAGTGTATCTTTTGCTTCGATCTCCCGTTTAAATACCCAATTTGTATTTTTATATTCTTTAACTGATTGTTGGGAACAAAGAAAAGCCAAAAAGAAAACCAAATCGTGTTCAACTTATGCAGCTTATTTTTGTGGAATATATTTGAGGCATGTCCAACAGCTGCGCCTGTGGGATATGCAACACATTTCGCTTGCCACGCATCCGCTAAATCTATGGGGCTATTATCCAAAGTTTTCAGTTTCTAATGAGTCGAGCCACGAGACTCATGTGGCTGGGGAACTTTATGTGCTCGTAAACCAGCTGCCAAACAGCCGGAAGAGCATCAGGTCCAAATTGAGGACATAACTTTACAGCAATTTACATACTCATTATGGCAGTCGCTTAGCAGTCGAAATGAGCAGAAAGCAAAAAAACAAAAACAACAACAAAAACGAAAAATAAAAATGTCAAATTAAAATTGCACTACAAAAAAATGCTGTTTAATTAAAGGACTACAAAATTGGTTGTGTGATGTGAGAAGTGTGTGTATGATGTGTGTGTGTGTGATGTGTGTGTGTGTGATATGTGTGTGTGATATGTGTGTGTGATATGTGTGTGTGTAAGTGTGTGTGTGTTTTATATGTGGAGCAGTCAACAATTTGCTGTCTGTCACATTGAATACTTTTTGCTGCGCAATTTCATTTGTTCGCCAAAAGAGTTGTTGAAATGCGCAATTACACAAAATATAAAAATGTGTTGCATATGTCGCATGGGGTGTATATATGTGTGTGTGTGTGTGTGTGGGCTGGTAGGGGTAGTTTGTTGGAAGGGTGACTCTATCGAAATAAGCAGATTGGTGGGGTGCGTGAATTTATGTGTCAACTTTTTGGGAGCCTACTAAATTGTGTGCATTTCTAATTTAATTTCAAATTGTTTTTTGCTTAAGATTTATTTTGCCTGGTAGGTGTTACAATCGAAAACTAACTGCAATTATATTTGTGGTAAGCTCAGCTTGCTCTTCTGCTGCACAGAGTTCAAGTTTGCTTTTACTTTGGACAACTCTTTGAAGGAGCAACTATTTGTTTCAATTATTATTGGAGCTCATCCTTGTTTGCTGATTTCGTTTGCCAGCTGTTGGGTGTCCAGTCGCAGTTTGTGGTCATGTTGCAGCACTCATTCATGCAACAGCATGTTGTTGTTATGTCATGTTGCACCTACATAAAATGCGCAAATGATGCGTTGCAAATGAAGCACAATGTGCGGGTTGTGAGTAAGGGAACACAACACCCGAAAAACTGTCGCAGTCACAAATTTTGCGTCTGGCTAACAAGTTTGCAACAACAGCAACAGTAACAACAACAACAACAACAATCGGCCGTAAAGTACAAGAGGCAACATTTGCTAATGACAAACATTGTAGGAGGGGGAAAGTGCAGAGTTTGTGGCACATCCAGCCCAACAATGATGACGTCGTTGGAGGCACTGAATTTAAGTGTCCACTGGCCCTTGGTGGCCAACAGTTTTATTATTATGCAACATGCGTTTTACAAAATGTGTAAAAATAAACATAAAAACACTAATATTTTTTATCGCCGAATGTGGAATATTCTTACATAAAATCATCCTCATAAATCCTCTACGTAAAAATTGATAAACTTATTTCTAACTGTTTACTTTACT